TCAGCCCTGAGCTAACATCCGTGCTAATCCTCCTCCTTTTGCTGAGGAAGAAGGCTCTGAGCTAACATCTATTGCCAATCCTCCTCCTTTTTTTCCCCCGAAGCCCCAGTAGATAGTTGTATGTCGTAGTTGCACATCCTTCTAGTTGCTGTATGTGGGACGCGGCCTCAGCATGGCCGGAGAAGCAGTGCATCGATGCACACCCGGGATCTGAACCCGGGCCGCCAGTAGCAGAGCGCGTGCATTTAACCGCTAAGCCACGGGGCTGGCCCCCAGTAAGTAATTATTTTATTATTGTTTAGTTCAAAATATTTTCTAATTTCCATTATTCTTAGACCCCTGCCTATACAGAAGTACATTTCTTAATTTCTAAAATCCTTGTATGTTTATACAAGGATTTTTCTACATATATTTTATTATTGATTTCTAACTTAGTAGTATTGTGGTCAGAGAATACTGTGATTTCAGTCCTTGGGAATTTGTTGAGACTTGTATGGTTGGCTTTTGTAAATGTTTGCGTGCTTTAAATGAGTGTGGATTCTGCGGTTCTTAGATACAGTTTTCCACATGTCATTTAGGTCCAAACTCTTCATCATGTTGTACAAATCCTCTATGTCTGTATTCATTTGTGTTTGCTCTATCAGTTACTGCAAGGTATAGTAAAATATATAAATATACTATATATGCTATTTTTACATATACAGTATAAAGTATATACTAAGTATATAAATATATAGTAAGTCTACTACATTTATACTTTATATACTATAATCACTAATCCTATTCTGATTATAGATTTATCTATTTCTCCTTAAAGTTCTGTTAATTTTTGATTTATATATTTTGAGGCTATGTTATTAGGTAATAAGATTTATACGTACCATTTATCTCCCTACTGTTTTTATCATTATGAAGTAACCCATTTATCTCTTTAGTAAAATTTTACCCTTAAATATTATTAATATATTAATATAGTTTTTCTTTTATTATTTGCATGTTGTATCTTTTTCTATCCTGTTACTACTTTAACTGATTTATTGTGAATCACATAGACACAAGAAATACATTAGACAGATGTGCTGTTAGCAAATACTTACAAACCATACGTCTGTATTGCGGCCACCTTGGTTCTAGCATATTTTTTCAACCTTTCTGTGTCCTTGTGTTTAAAATGTGTCTCTTGAAAATAGCATCTAGAGGAATTTTGTTTTCTATCCAGTCTGAAACCTTAAACTCTAACATTTAGGCCATTTATATTTAATATAAACATTGATACATGTGGGTTTAACTCTTCCTTCTTTCTTTCCTGTTCTTTCCATCATGTTTCTTTTCCTCTCCTTTCTTGCTTCTCTTTAGATTGACATTTTATCATTCTCTGATATTTTCCTTTATATGTTTGGGAGTTATACACTTGGTTTTGTTTTTATAGGAGTTTCATCAGAAATCACAACATTTATCCTTAATTTACCAGAATCTAATAAATTTAATCAACACACATGAGGGCTGGCCCGGTGGCGCAAGCGGTTAAGTGCACGCGCTCTGCTGTGGCAGCCTGGGGTTCGCTGGTTCGGATCCCAGCGTGCACCAACACACTGCTTGGCAAGCCGTGCTGTGGCGGCGTCCCATATAAAGTGGAGGAAGATGGGCATGGATGTTAGCCCAGGGCCAGTCTTCCTCGGCAAAAAGAGGAGGATTGGCAGATGTTAGCTCAGGGCTGATCTGCCTCACAAAAATAAATAAATAAATAAATAAATAAATAAATAAATTTAATCAACACTTGTATTTTCTTTTTTGGACAATACAAGGACTGAAATAGAAATTTTGCATTTGAGCTTTCATCCCTGATTTATTGTGCTTGTGTATTACAATCGTCTCTTTTTAAAGCTCTACAAGACAGCGTTGTTCTGTTTACCTGCATGTTTACCATTTTCTTTATTCATCATACCTTCTTGTTTTAGAGTCTGAAGTTTAGATTTTATCTAGTGTTGTTTTTCTTCTGTCTGAAGCACATCCTTGAACTTGCTTTAGTGATATTTTTCTGAAGTCAAACTTTAGTTGTCTGAAAATGTCATCTCCTGAATTCTTAAAAGATATTTTCGTTGGATATAGAATTCTGGGATAGCAGTTATTATCTTTCAGGACCTTAAAGGTACCTTTCCCTCCTGCCTTCTGGGTTCTGTTGTTTTTCTTAGGAAGTTGTTCTGTTGAAAGGTAATTTTCCCTTGCCCTCTGGATACTTCTGAGACTTTTTTTTCTTTTTCTTTGGTGATCTGCAATTTCATTATTATGTGACCAGGGATAGCTTTATTTTTATTTATTCTGCTTGAGATTATTGGACTTGTTAAGTTTGTGGATTGATGTCTCTTCAATTATGGAAAATCCTCAGTCATTATCTCTTCATCTAGTGCCTCTGCCCCATCTTTCTCTCACTTTACCTTCTGTAAATCCATATGCACGTCTGTGCTTTTGGTGTCATTTCCAGGAAATCACTGCCAAATCAATGTCATGAAGATTTACCCCTATATGTTCTTCTAAGAGTGTTATAGTTTTAGTTCTTACATTTAGGTTTTTGATCCATTTTGAGTTAAATTTGTAAGAGTCCAACTTCATCCTTTTGCATGTGGATAACCTGTTTTCCCAGCGCCCTTTGTGGAAAAGACTGTCTTTTTCCCAGTGAATGGTCTTGGCACCCTTGTCAAAAATCATTTGACCAGGGCCGGCCCCGTGGCTTAGCGGTTAAGTGTGCGCGCTCCGCTGCTGGTGGCCCAGGTTCGGATCCCGGGCGCACACCGACGCACTGCTTCTCTGGCCATGCTGAGGCCATGTCCCACATACAGCAACTAGAAGGATGTGCAGCTATGACATACGACTATCTACTGGGGCTTTGGGGGAAAATAAATAAATGGCAAAGGAATTAAAAAAAAAATCATTTGACCATATACAAGGGTTTATTTCTGGACTAATATGTAATTTCTTAGAAATTAATTAATATTGGATCCATCACACATGTTCATAAATGTCGTGGTGCTGAGTCATTAATTCCATGATTTGGGACAAGATGTGTCCTGTGCTGCCGCTGGCCTCACTCAGATGGCAGTCTTGTTGGCTGCTTTTTCTTTCATGTTTGCTGAAGCCACACATAGTATAAGATATATTGGATCAAATGTTTTTCTCAAATTATTTTCATGTAAAAGTAGTTCACCTGCCACTTCCACCTACATTTAGAATGGTTAGATGGTGATTAGATATTAGTATTCTTTTTATGGACAATTAATATTGAAGAATTAGATCTTTTACTTCTAGTCCTGCCCCCACCCATTCTTCAAAACACATGCATCCTAAACACACCTCCTTGATGGATTTCCTTCTCTCCATAACTCACTGCTCTGTCTTGATTCATTGACAGGTTGCGACGTTTTTCTCTCGTCCCAGCCGTGTGGACAGTGCCACACACCCTCCGCACGACGACGGCTCTTGCTTGCGTGCTCCAGTGTTTCTTTTGTCAGAGAGCCCAGCAGAGCTGCAGCGCTTCCAGTGCCGGCCCTGAGCTGAGCGAGGAGTGCCCTGCAGAGATGGTGAAGATGACAAAATCCAAAACATTCCAAGCTTATCTGCCAAACTGCCACCGAACGTACAGCTGTGTGCACTGCAGAGCCCACCTGGCCAATCACGATGAGCTGATCTCCAAGGTAAGGGGTTTGTGTCCAGTAATTGACGAGATGTCCTTGACAGTGATTATCAGACCTAATTAGTAGGTGAATATTCAGCCATCATGGGACTTCCTGAGTTTGCTGTGTCCTAAAAGTCTAGAGCCTTCTGGGCAGTATTGATGAGCATTTTGTGTGATTAAGTGTGGCTACGCCGCGATCTTGGTTGGGATCTTTGCACAGGGGGTGTGTTTTGGAGGACCAGGCAGCTGGGACTCCTGAAGATCATGAAGAGCAAGATGGGTTGTTTATTTGTCAGAGTAGTAAAATTAATGTAAAACCAGAGAACATTGAAGGAACTAAGGAAGTCTAGGAAATCTGTGGAAATAGTTTAATAATAAGGGAATTAAGAAATTTTTAAAACTCAGAATGGTTAAGAAGAGGCTTTCATGGGGGAAATGGGATCTTTCAGGAAGATGCTCAGGAGGGAGCTCTGAACAGGGCCACAGCGACTGCTCTGGGCACTCCGCGCAGGACCGGGGCAGCCCCGTAGGTGCAAAAAGAACAGCCTGATTCCTCCATATTAAGTTGAACTCTTTGTTAGCAGTTCATAATGTTTATAATCAACCACTTGTGAACATTTAAAATAATCCAAACATAGTGGATGAGCAAATGCTCCCTCGGGAAACAGTGATGGTCCTCTCCCACCCGTGCTCTCAGATCATGACCCCCACCTGTGCTCTCAGGTCATGACCCGCACCCCAGCTCCCAGGTCATCATCCACACCCATGCTCGTGGGTCATGACCCCCAGCCATCCTCACAGGTCTGCCTTCCTGGGCTACATGAACCTCATGCTCCTTCAAAAACAAAGGCTATTAGGAAGTTGTGCCTTTCAGGAATCTCCACTTAGGCTTCTTGTTTCACTCAGTTAGAAGAACATTTATTTACTGTGTTTTTAACTAGGTAATAGTGAGAGGTTGTCTCATTTCTGTTCATCACCTAAAATCCGTGAAAGAAGGCAGAGTTTCTGCTCTCTCACTGCTCCTGTGGCTCCTTTGTCCGTTCAGAAGTTTCAGGTAAGAGGTGGAAGCAGCTCAGGCCCCTGGTTTCTTGGTTGCTTTCTGAGGCAGGCTGAGCGTGTACTCCAGTGTTGTGAGTTAACGGAGGGCATTGCCGCTCCACGGCCTCCAGACTGGGGCTGTGGCTTGGCGGCCTTGCTGAGCCCATGACACCTGAGCAGGTGTCAGTGTCGGGCACCATTACAGTCTTTGTTCTGAAGCATGCCAGGAGGCTCTGTCATTAGGTAGGCCAAAGGAATTTGAGATGCTTCTTTCAAAGAACCCTAAAGCCATTAAGCTGTTTTTTAAATTACATCAAGAGTAGAGGCTTGCTAGGTGGAAAGAGTCATGACATGAACTAAGTATTTCAGGATGAAAGGAATGCTGGGAACCTATACTCTCCAACTACACAGGCTGCCAAGAGGAAGCAGACCTTGTGTTTCAGCTGGTGATAAATTGTTTTTTCTCTCTTACATTATTATTCCGTGACACCATGTAGAGCAGAATCAAACACATATGAGCTAGAGGTACTGTCCTGACGGGTTCGCCAGCCTCTGGGTCAATCTTTGTAGTAACACAATCCCCTGGCCTACGGGAGCCTTCTTGGTGGAGGCAGGTCTGGTTGTTGGAAGGCTCTGCTTTTATCTGCAGGCCACTTCTGGCACCACACCTGTGTCTGTGACGTTTTATTGGATCACAGCTGGGCTCATCCATTTATGTGTCATCTATGGCTACTGTCGCACAGAGGAGTTGCAACAGAGGCTGATGGCCCCCAAAGCCTGCGATATTTGTCACCTGGCCCTAATTTGCAGAAGTGTGCAGACCCCTGCTCCAGTTGGACTGCTGTCTGAATCTGAACCACAGATCTGATCACATCACTGATCCAAACCCTGTTTGAAAAATAAGGATTTGCTGACTAGGTGAGAAAATTAGGAAAAGCAGTGTAGAAAATCGAAGGAAGGTAAGGATGTGTGCGAAGTCTGTAAGATGATTATTTGTTAAATTGAACAAAAAATAATATTCCTAATTCTAGAAAACCACTTAAGGGAAGACCCTTTTTTTTATTGATGTTTTAATAGTTTATAACATTGTGAAATTTTGGGTTGTACATTTTTGTTTGTCCATCACCATATATATTTCTCCCTTCACCCCTTGGGCCCACCCCCAACCCCCATTGCCCCTGGTAACCACAATACAGTTTTCTCTGTCCATGTGTTGGTTTATATTCCACATATGAGTGAGATCATACAGCGTTTGTCTTTCTCTTTCTGGCTTACTTCACTTAACATAATATGCTCCAGGCCCATCCATGTTTGCAAATGGGATGATTTTGTCTTTTTTTTATGGCTGAGTAGTAGGGAAGACCCCTTTTAAAGTCTGAAAGCTGTGTGTGTAAATCAAACACGGCTGCGTCAGGCGAGGTTATGCTGCAGAACAAAGAGCCCCCAGGGCTCAGTGGCTGAAACGAAGGTTCATCTCCTCCTCAGATGAGATGTCCGTCAAGGGTCAGCTGGGGCTCTGCTTTCATTAATTGTAGAAAAAACTATGACTCCTGATGACACGCTGGAGTGACGTGTACGGGTAAAGTGAAAAATGAGAAGTGCTCTTTCCTCTTTCCCTATCCCGACTCCATTCCTTGGATTGTCACTGTGAGTAGTGTGGTGTGTGTTGTTGTTGTCGTCTTTTTTTTTTGTCTATAGGAACACGTTTTTCAATTTAAATAAAGGGCTCACCTGTCATTTTACAGCTAGCTGGCTTTTCTTTTTTTTTTAATAATTTTATTTATTTATTTTCCCCCCAAAGCCCCAGTAGATAGTTGTATGTCACAGCTGCACATCCTTCTAGTTGCTGTATGTGGGACGCGGCCTCAGCGTGGCCGGACAAGCGGTGCGTCGGTGTGCGCCCGGGATCCGAACCCAGGCCGCCGGTAGTGGAGCGCGCGCACTTAACCGCTAAGCCACGGGGCCGGCCCATGGCTTTTCTTCACTTAACAAGTTTCAGGCCTGTCCTTCCATGCCCGCTCGTACCGATCTGTTCCCGCCCCCCCTGAATGTCTGCATGAGTCCTGGGTGTGAATGCACTTGTTTCTCACGTTTTGGCGGGTCTCTGTCTGCCTTTTTTTTGTGATTACAAACCCTGTGATGGTGACCATTCCCGTCATGTTTCCTTATGCACTCAAGCTGGTTTGTTCCGTACTGTAAATTCTTAGAAGTGGGACTGCTGGGCCACCCGCTACGTGCCGTTCACACTGGTATTGTCACCTTGTGGTCTAGTCAGCGTTCCTCACTGGCGTTTGAATTTGTGCTAAGGTGATAGGCAAAACCCTCAAAGTGTTCTTGGTTCAGTGTGCGTTTCTATGATCATTTTTGAGGTCTATCTGTTTCATTGGGTCATTTGAGCCTGGCACCTGAGCAGATGAACCCCCAGCTGGTGTTCCCCCTGTTCCTGTGAAGTGAGGGTGTGGGAGCTAAGTCTGGGACCGAGCTGGTTCTATCAGGGAGGCACCAATACCCTGTTCTGCCTCCTTAATCATCCTAGAATACGGGAATATGCTCTGAGCTGTTTCTTAGCTTGGAACACTTTCCTGGGGTGAGATGTGACTGGAAGGTCCTTTCCTCCAAGTCAGGGGCCATCTTGGGCTGTGACTTTTTTATTTCAGTGGAAAAGCATGGAAACGTCCCCTTGCCCCTAATATCTGACAGGCAGTGGTGCATCTTGCCCTGGGGGTGAATAGACAGCTGAGCAGCCCGGCTGGGGGCTCCGGGACGCCGTGACCTCCAGGCCTCCCCGCAGGAGAAGCTCGGTCCTCATGGGCTGGGGCCCTGGAGGCTGCGGTCACTGCTCCTCTGAGCGCGGCTCGCTCTTGGGCTGCAAGGCGGCCCTTCAACTCAGGTCGAGCTCCTCGACCTGAAACACACCTGCTCCACTTTCATTCCAAAATGCAGCACTCACCATCACTTTTGTCCCCACAACAAACCTTTGACAACTTTTTTCTTCTTTGCAGTCCTTTCAGGGAAGTCAGGGACGAGCCTACCTCTTCAATTCTGTGTGAGTATCACTGCCATTGGCCTCGTAGACGTACCGTGGTCCCTGTCAGGTCACACTTAGTGCTTCTGTACAGGCATTTGTTAGTTGCTCAAGGCTGGAACAAGTAAACAGAATGGACCGGTGGTCCAGAATCATCCAGTGTGTTTTATAGGATCTTGAAGAATTCTGCTGTCCAGTCTGAGAGTTTTGGGAAGGCGTAATGCTCTTATGTGAGGAATTAGCTCCCGCACGCGGTGTGGTTTCTTTCCCATTCGTGGGAGATTTTGATTTTCACTATGCTACAGCGGAGCTGTGCTCACCTCCCACGGCCTGTCCTCGTGGGGAAATAAAAAGTTGTTCCTTCTCATAAAAGGTGTTCGTGGGCAGGGGTGGAGCAGGCGGGGAGTTAAGAAGAAACACTGCTGTGTCTCTGGTAATCAGTTGGCTCAAGCAATAACGCCCCAGGTGGGGACCAAGGCGGGAACCGGGGAGGCCCCTCCAGGCCCTCCAGGGGGTGGAAATGCTGCTGCCAGCTCAGGGTCCCTGGGAGGGGCGAGGGGGGCGTGCGGGTCTTCAGCGCTGTCCTGCCTCCTTCCCTGCAGGGTGAACGTGGGCTGTGGCCCTGCAGAGGAAAGAGTCCTCCTCACTGGCTTACACGCTGTCGCAGACATCTACTGCGAGAACTGCAAGACCACGCTCGGGTGGAAATATGTGAGTAATCATCGTCTTCTGACGTTTCAGAGAGCGCACAGATTTACTGTAATAAATAAAACATGTTACAAATGGACACCAAATTAATTTGCAAAGGAGTAAGACTTTCCCCTAGAAGTGTGGTAGATCATATCAGTCAAAGAATACATGTTTTAAACTCGAGTGTCTTTTGAGCTGATTAAAGATGTGAGTAATCACTCGGGCACACCTGCACTCGTGGGGCAGGGCAAGCAGCCACACTCCCAGACCCCAGACCCTCTGAGGGTCCCATGGAACACAGTGGGGAGGCTCTTCCCTCCCGTCCTGGAGGCGATCACTGGCCAGCTGTTACTCTGCAGTGGTGGTCACGGCAGACCCCTCTGCAGCACTCGGTGCCTCGCACGCCCAGGCCCTGGGTGGCATCTGAACATCAGGGGACCCTCCTCCGCCCACGGGCTCTTATCCCCAGCCCCTTCTTTCTCCTCGGCCTTGAGCCGCACGTTGCCATCCCACCACATCTCCAGCCTTCTCCTCCGCTGGCTCCTTCCCTCCTCCTGCCCCGAGCTTCCTGCAGACACAGTTGCTGCCGCCCCACCTGGGCCTGGGCAGCCCTGCTTGCTGAGGGGTTGGCCATGGGAAGCTCTGCTCCTCAGCACTTTCTGCTCCTGTCTCCCCCTTCTCGGGCTGACCTGCCTCTGCTCTCAGCCTGCTTTGACCTGTCTGCTGACAACTCCCAAACTTGTCCCTCTGCCCTAGCTTCTGTCCCATGTCCCCAGTGCCCCTGGCCATCTCATGCACACCCCAACCCCTAGACTCCGGCATTTGAGAGGTCCATCTGGTGTGGCACCTGCCTTCATGGACGTGTCTTCTGCAGCCATTCTGCTTTTCTTCATCAGGGCCACCTGCTCTATCTTGCTGGCATTCCTGATTGTTGCTGATCTGCCATGTCCTCATCAGATGTGAGGGCACACAGTCCCGAGCAGAGATAGCTCAGTGAGGCCTGCACGCTCCCGGGCCCTTCCACCTGATGCGCCCATTCCATTTCATCCCCACTGCCCACGAGGGGCCTTCTCTTTCTCCAGCATCCTCGAACTGCCCTGGGGCTCGCCGTCTACTCGCCTTCCTCTCGTCTTACCTGGAGTCTCTAGAAGGAGTGTCTTGCTTTTCCTACCTCCCACATCGCCCTGCACCTGGCAGATGCTCAGTAACAAACATAAACTCATGTCCCCTACAAGTTAACTGTAACTTGACCACGAGCAAAGTAGGCCTGTGCTGCCCTCCATGGGCTCGTCACCGAGACAGACCCTCCTGGCCCTGGTGGCACGGCCAGGGGACATCTGGGGAGACATACCATAGACTTCTTTGCCAAGAGTGTAATTAAGCTGAAAAATGAAACAGATTCTGTCCTGAAACCTTTTCTCTCTCCTTTTTTTTTTTCAAGGAGCATGCCTTTGAGAGCAGTCAGAAATATAAGGAAGGAAAATTTATTATTGAGCTTGCCCACATGATCAAAGACAATGGTTGGGAGTAAAGTGAAAACTGTCCGTTCTCGCTTGAATACTGTTTTGTGAGAGAGACCGTAAATGTCATGGAAACCTGGGAGCATCCTGGATGACAGTATTTCTTCAACTTGAAGCTTGCAGGCCGGCCTCTCCCGGCCATTCCCAGGGGTAAGGTGTCCCTCCAGTCTATTTCCTGTTCCTGTACATGGTTGTTTCTGGAAATTTTCAGTCACCTTTTCTAACTTGTCAAGTTCTAGAGAAAGAATTAACCAGTTGATGACTTCTCTGTCTAGTGAAGACCTTCTTTTAACCTTTGCCTTTAAGATGGAGTTTGTGCTCTTTTCTGTTTGATAGAAAACCAAACCGAGTCTCTGCAGACCCCATGGACAGGGTCTCCTCAGAGAGCAAGGCCACCCCTCTTGTTTAGAGGGAAGGTTTTGTAGCCCACTTTTTTCCTAATTCTCAAAGCTGCAAACTGGTTATTTTGCAGGAAGAGTAACAGCTCTTACTCATGAGCTGTTAAGGCATACTGCTCATTAACTTCCAGAAGCAGTCAACAAATCTATACACCCAGGGTGTTTTTTTAGCCTTGTTCAAAAACAGAGGACACCAACATTTTAGATAAGCTATAAATAGAGAAATGTCGAATGGAACATGTTTACTTAAGCCAACACCTTCCTTATCTAGAAGGCAAGTGAACTAGTCACGAGCAGACTGTTCCAGGCCTGTGGGCGCACTGTGCTCGGGGCTGCAGGCCCGCAGGGGGCTTCCGCGTCAGTTAGTCACTGAGCGGCCAGGCCTGGAGTTAGAGTTTAATGCACTGGACTGAGTAAAACCAGGTTTCCTTTTGTACTCCAGTGTACTTGAAGAAAGAGAATTATTTTTGCATATGAAAGAGGCCAGAACTAACAGGAGAAACTGCCAAGCTTGAGATTTGCTAGTTTTAAAATGTTTTCAGAAAAGGTTCAAGTTGCAAGACAGGTTTAAACTTGGTAAATGAAGATGTTTGGTTTGCTCAAAGGGTCACCGTGCCCTGCCTGGCTGTCCCGTGGGCTGACACAGAAGGGACCTGGAGTCCCCTAAGTCCTGTGTTCCTGCCACGTAGTTTAAGTTCCAGTCTACCCGGCCTTGGCAGGGAGTGGGCACTGTGCAGGCGTTTTGGCCGATTTGCAGAGAGTGGAGTTTTGGTTTTCAGTGTCCTGACCTCACGCCAACTGGAGGGCCCGGCTTGCTGCTCCAGGCGTCTGGGACGGCCTTCGGTGTGGTCACCATGCCGGGACACTCTTGGGACCCCAGCGCCGAAGGTAGGGAGAGGGCCCAGGGTTGGCAGAGAGAGGAGAGCAGCGCACCCAGATGTTTCCCAGCCTGACAGGGCTCTGAAACCATCTTCAGATGAGGTTAGTCCAGTGGCAACCAGTGCAAGGCAGCTGGGGACAGTGAGGGAAGGGCTTCCGGCTCTAGAAGGCCCCTTCCCTGACTCCAGAGCCCGTGGCCGGGCAGGCACTGGGGGCCGCCGACTGGGTCTGGTTCAGCTGCCCACCTGGAGCTTCTCTTTTGGCCCCATCTCTGCCTAAGGCTCGAAGCCTCGGAACACAGGAAATGCCGCTGCCCTGGGCTGGTGGCCGCAGATTTAGGCTGTCCTGGCGCGTTCCTGGGTCTCTGAGTTCGTGCTCAGCTGTGCCGCCCACACTCCCAGGGCCCAGAGTCACTCACACCTGGTGCTCTCGCATGTGTCCGAAACCCGAAGACGCCCCCCTTGTGAGCCAGCATGTGGGGCAGCACAGTCCACAGCTTGAGTCTCTCATGAAGACCTGGAAGGGACTGAGACACCGTCCTTGAAGAGTGAGCACGAATCAGCGAAAACTTGGCCTAACCCGACGTTTCCCTCCTCGTCTGGGCCCCTCCGGGAGCCTCAGCGCTGTCGGAGGCTCAGGAGGAGCAGGGCGAGGGCCGGGCCGCTCCGGGCTTCTCCACGGGCCTTCACGTAACCTGCAGACTCTTCTAAGGTCCTTCCGACCGATTTTGTATATACTACACTTCTGTTTAAAGCTTTTCTATGTTCTGGGCAAGTTGACTGACTGCTCCTTTGACTTGAGCACTTTGATTTTTGTATGTCTTCTGTGATGGCACTGAAACATTTACCAGTGGTCTTACGACTTATTTTGTATTTTTTTTTTTGTAATTGATACCAACGAAAACTCTTACCGCTTTTATTCGTCTTCTGCAAAATCCAAGCTCCTTTTGAAACCAAATGAACTGAGCGTGAGCTGGCTTCAGGGAAGGATATTCATGAGACCACAACCAGATGTGCTGGTACAGTGCTGGAATGTTTCACCCTCTTAAATTCCTAAACACTAAATATCATCCCATGACTTTTATTTAAATTATTTAAAACATTTTTACCTTGAGAAGAGGGGGCAGTGATGCCAGAATTATGAGTGCATTTAACATAAACTGCAGTGTCCTCTGGCAAAGTACATTTGCCTTAGAAATGTGGTTTAGTTTTGTTGCCGTTTTATATATACATATATATAGTATTTTTATACCTTAACGCTTATTCTCGATGGTATCTGTCAGATATTAGGAGGGATGAGAAATGGGAATTTTTTCAAAAGTCCTTTAATTTACCTGATGACCTCACCAGGTACTTACAGAATCCAAGTGTTTTCAATATCTAGAAAACTACAATTCAAACTCCAAAACGACCTACAGAAATGTAAACTCTCACGTGTCAAAGGCTCTGGGTGGGCCTGTCCTCCTGCTGTGGGGCAGCGCCCAGGTCTGCAGCCCAGGGTGGCCCAGCCTTCCCATGGGGGAGGCTGGACAGAGGGACAGGCGGCAGCCAGGGCTGGCGCGGAGGTTCACCCCTTGGAGCGGGACTGCCAAGCTCATGTGCATGAGCCGCCTCACCTCGCCGCGTCCAGCCCTCTGTCCTGTGTGTGTGTAGGGTTCAGAAATAAAGCTTCCGAGGCCAGACGTCTCCTTTTCAGTGGCACCACCTGTCTCGGGCACTGCTCTGACGCTGAGGGACGAGGCCCTGGTTTCCAAAGGGGTGTGGGGTCTTGGAGGTCCTCTCCACCTGCGGCCCTGGTCCAGCGCTGTTGCGTGCAGCCTGCCACTGCAAAAGCAGCTCCTGGAGCGCCATGCCAGTTGCGCTCACCATGTTTGGGGCCGAGTGTAGCCCAAAGACGGTCTAACAGTGCAGTTGCGGGGTGCAGCCAACCCTGCTCACCTCCTCCTCCTCAACTGCTGAGGAGCGAGCCCCACCCATCCCGGAGTCCGGGGTCCCTCAGGCATGCTGTACCTGCCCCCTCCCAAGACTTGCACCCCCACCCACACCCTGAGCTACAAGCGCCTGCTCAGCGGCCTGCAGGTGCGTTTGTACTGGGCTGTCACCATATCCTGCCAAGCCCTCTTCTCCCGTGTGACCCCAGACGCTTGGAGACAGTGAGGGCACAGACGTTGGAGTGTGAGTGAGTTATGAGACAGCTATAGCTGGAAGGGGTGGTGGTGAGGGGACATTCGTGAAGTGAGGGACAAGGGCCTGGCTGAAGGCGTGTAAGGGCTGGGAGGTCACTGTAGAGCCCAGGTCCCAGCTACTGGTCATGGGCTGAGGGACTGCAAAGGGACAGACCGAAGGCAGGGCAGACACCCCGTTCTCCGCACAGTGGAAAGCCAGTGACCAGCCTGAAGTGAGATGACAGTGGGCCAGCAAGCTCAGGGAAGGGATGCGGACACAGCATCTGTGTGGACGTGCGTGAGGGGCTCAAAGAGACTGGTGAAGACAAAAGGGGTCGGGCCTGGGGTTCAGCCCCAGAGATGGAAAAAGAAGGACCAAGGTACATTGTGGACGTAAGAGCTGTCAAGACTTGCTGATGGATTTGAGGTTTGGGGTGAGGGAAAGGAGAAAAACCAAGACTGGAGGCCGTTAGAATTTCCAGGTGACGAGCTGGAGGGGGCAGTGGCCCTGCTGACCCCAGGGCGACAGGTAGTGAGAGCAGGTGCGCAGGGCGGACAGTGACGCTTGCTCTCAGAGCCCTGCGACTGGAGGAGACGGGGGTCCCGGGAGGAGGCAGCTGTCCCCACACTTCTGCAAAGGCGCTTCAGGAAAGCCGAGGTAGTGGTGTCAGGGTCAGGAGAATGGAAGCCAGGCTGGCGTGGGCTGCAAACTGAACGGAAAGCAAGGACGGGCAGGCGAGTCTAAGTAAGTAAGTTTTTTGAAGACATATTTATAGAAAAATAGGGTCAAGGGAGGGGAATCTTTAAATTAAAAAGCACTGGTGCAGCTGGCCTAGAAGCCCTAGAGCTGGGGCTGAGGGTCACCTCTGAGCACAGGGACAGCCCTGAGGGTGGAGAGGAGGTGGGGGCGAGGGGGACATGCCAGCTCGCGGGCCTGCTGCTCATCCGTCGGGAATAGGAGCTGGCCGGCTTCACCCGTGTGGTCTCAGCACCACCCTGAGGCGGAGGCCGGCTGTCCTGAGGTGGAATCCTGACCCAGGCTGGCCAGAGCTGGAGGCGGGGGCATGGCTGTGACCACCCACAGGCCTTGCTAGGTGAGCCGGTGGGCCCCAGTGAGCCCAAGCAAGCAGCAGCAGAAAAGGTTTTTGAAAATGACATTAAGGCCCTAGCTCCGGGCCCTCAAACCACCAGCATCAGAAGCCCCAGAGGCCTGTCAACACATGGACTGCAGAGCCCCGATCCCCGAGTCTTTGGGTCAGAAGGCCTGGGGTCTGAGCATCTATGTTGCTAACAAGGTCCCAGGTGACGCTTCTGGTTGGGGGAACCACATCAAGTAAACAGTCCCTGAGAAGATGACAGAAGGGGACAGGGCCTAGGAAAACCAGCATCAGGAGACACGGCCTTTCCTCCCCGCCCCAGGCCCGCAGTACAGCCTGGTCTAAGGGCCAGACCCCCCGCCTGACGACAGTCCAAGACGTGGGCTCTGGCTGGGCACAGGCCTTGGAAACAGGGCCAGGCCACTCTGCACCAGGTGAGGGATGGCGAAGCCAGTGGACTCCCAGGGCCAGGAAAGGGGACCCAGGCAACAGGCAAGCACTTTATTGAGTTGCAGCCCGAAGGGCAGGCTTATGACGGCGGAAAAATCAGTAACGTGGACACAGGGCAGCAGGCCTGCTGCTACCACGAGCTGAAGTCCCCGAAACCTCGGCTGGGCTTTTTCTTGGCCACGGGGACAGCTGCACTGGTTGATGGTTCTTCCTCTGCTATACGTTTCCTGGGAAGAGAGGACTCCAGCTGCCACATGGGTCCCAGACCCCGCCCCCGAGCTGGGAGCCAGGTGTCTACATGTCACATGGCTGCACCACCCCCCACAAATCCCCCATCTCTTCAGCCTGCACTGAGGCCCCCGGGCCAGGGAGGGCCTGCACAGCACAGGTCCCTCTGTCTGCAGCGGCCCCCACAGCACCTGCTCACGGCTCAATCCCAGGGCCTGTTGCTTCCTCGCCACTGCAGGCTCTGACCTGTGGGCACCATGGAAATGGGAAGCCCACCCCTGCCCCACTCACGTGGCCGCTGGGTTGATGTACTTGCCCACCCCCTGGCGGTATGTCTGCAAGCCCTGGCTCCCTGGCTTGGGCTGGCTTGTCTTCACCGTGCTTTCTGGGGCCACCTCCTCGAGCTGTGTCTTCTTCCGCTCCTCAGCAATCTGTGGTGGAGCAGGGCAGTGGCTGGCCAGAGCCCCTTGGGCCAGGAGGGACTCCCCCAAGCCCCCTCCCACATGGCGGCCGTGCCCTCCTCACCTGAGCATCGGCCTCCTCATAGGGGTCCACAAACACCGTGGTGGAGTCGATGCGGATCTCCTCCTAGCAGCAGGGGCAGCACGTGAGCAGGGCCAGCGAGAGGCAGCAGGCTCCCATGCATGCCCACCCAGTGCCGAGCCTGAGGAGCAGCCCCTCTCCTTCTGGGGCACATACCTTAGGGCGGTCAGTTTTGGGGTCACTCTCCACACTCTCCATGGCTGTCAGTGTGTCAAAGCCCCCAACAACCCTGCGGCAGACGACAGGTGCCTCTGAACATGCCCAGGGCAAGGCACCCCCAAAGGCCAAGTCCCAGGCTACCAGTGGCTCCCCCCAACAAAAGCTCCACACAGGTGAGGGGCACGGCCAGACTAGCTTCAGAATGACCCGGCAGGGCGAGGAGAGGAGGGGCCAGAGGATAGGCAAGAGCAGAGCCAGGGGCCAAGTCCACCTGGCTCTGTCAATAAAGCTTTAGTGGGACACAGCACACTGGTTGCTTCCATGCTGTCTTTAGCTGCTTTTGCACTACGACTAAAGAGCTGAGGGGTGTGACAGAGTCTGTGAGGCCACACAGCTGGAAATACCATCTGGGCCTTTACAGGAAGTTTGCCAACCCCTGGATGAGAGGATGGAGAGAGACAGGACCATCACAGGAGAGCCTGAGGGGGCAGTGAGTGTGGGCAGGGCAGCCGGCCAGGCAGGGCTGGAGCTGGTCTCCTCTCCTTAGCCAGCAGGTGTGGAGAACCAAACATCCCCCACCCAACAGAGAAGCCCCAAGTCCCCAGTTCTGCATGGCCAAGACGTGGGCAGTGACAGTCACGAGGGCAAATGAACATAGGGCCAAGCCTGGGGAAAAGGCGGTGAGGGTCCCAGCTGGGGAAGGAGCGAGCCCACCTGCCAGACCTCCCCCAGCCGCTTCTCTTACCGCCCGAAGATGGTGTGCTTCTTGTCAAGGTAGGCGCAGGAGCGGAAGGTGATGAAGCTGGGGAAGGCGGGAGGGAGGAGGCTCAGGAAGAGCACGGGAGTTTCTCCCCCACAGCCCGTCTCGGCCCTGCCACTGCTGGGCACAAACCAGGTGCGCCCCTCTCTCCAGAGCCCGCCCTGGGAAGCTGGAGATCCAGAGAGGGTGGTGGCCCCCGTGCCCTGCTCATCGAGGGCAGGCTGTCAGCCAAGGCTGCCCACGTGAGCCAAGGCCTCTGGCTCCCCTGAAGGCCCAGGGCACAGCGCCCGGGAAGGGACAGGGGAGGCTCGGCCTCCAGGCCCGGCTGCTGCCAGCCTCCCGTCGGGCAGATGCTGTGCCCAGAGCCTGGAGGCAGAGATGCTCTGGAGAGGAGGTTGGGAGGGGGGCAAATGGAAACCAGGCCCTGTCCCATCAAGAGACCAACTGAAGGACCAACGACTCTGAACCAGAAGAAAGGAGGCAACAAGCAGAAAAGGGAGTAAAGACATGGAGACACGTGGGTGAACGTATATCAACACTGACCTAGAAAATCTGCACCCTCATTTGGGAAAAATGGGTGGAATTAAAATGCCTGACCACACTAACATGAGAGACGGCCGGGGGTGACTGCAAGGGTCTTGTCTGGGAAGGAAAGAGAGAGAGAAACTATAACTTCAGATTTGAAATAGATGTATTTCTTGACTTAAGGCCAGAAGTAAAACACCTAACTTCCACACCAGGAAAAACAGGAAAGTAGGAAATGAAAAGAAATATTAAAAAAGGCTAAGAAGAAGGTATCAGACAAGAGACGAAGGCAAACAGCATCACGGGGTCAGTTACGGTGCCCAAGGGGGCAAAGCCATCCCCCAGGGAGGCAGTGCTGGCACACACAGCTAGTGAGGGACTGGAGCTCTCAGCACGCGCGTCACCCCGCTGAGCAGGGACGACCCTCCTCCCGGGCCCAGCGGAGAGGTCTCCACAGGCCACCACTGTGCAGACCTGAACTCTGGCCACCAAGCGGGGCTCGCTGGTGCTAATTTCTAACAAGAGAATGAAATAAACCTGAAGAAAATAGGAAGGAAACAGAAAAATAACGAAAGGGAAAACAAAAATATAACAGAAAATAAAGTCTAAGTTCTTTGAAAAGAAAGGTGTCTGAGAAAGCACAAAATAACATTACAAGTAAAAAGACAAGAACATCACCAATCCAGCAGCAGTTTTATGGGCTACTTAAGCCCGAGTTTGAAATTAATAATAAAAAGTGACACCCGCCCCCTCCCCAAACAACAACACACAAACCACCCACCTAACCTCCTTGGAAATAAACACTCCCACATAACCCTTCGCTGGGAGGAAATTAACAGGGAAATGACAAACGACCAGCACGCAGCACAGCAGGAAGGGAAACAGGCCCTCAGCATGTCACGCCCAAATGTCTTCAGTGGTAGAGTAAGACATGAAAGTAAGACAGAAGAGAGAAGAAACCAGGAAGAAGCAATCAAAGCTAGAAACTGAAAATAATTACACAGAAAGTAAAAGCAGTTAAACCCTCTGTAAACCATTAAGGAAAAAAGGAATACAGATGTGATCAGGAAAGAGAAGGGAACAACAATAAACAAACACATAGAGACAGAGATTGGATTGGTGGTTACCAGAGGGGAAGGGGGGAGGGAGGAGGGCGAAAGGGATAATTCGGCACATGTGTGTGGTGATGGGTTGTAATTAGTATTTGGGTGGTGAACATGATGTAATCTATGCAGAAATAGAAGTATAATGATGTACACCTGAAATTTATACAATGTTATAAACCAATGTTACTGCAATAAACAAAAAATTTAAAAAAAAAAGGAAAGAGAAGGGAGACGGGAGCACAGACAGAAGAGATGCCACGGAAGCAAGTTTGGAAATCTAGAGATACACGAGTTAAATTCTGGCAAAAGAGAAACTACCCAATTGGCCCCTGAGGTGGAGCCCGAGTGAGGAAGGAGCATGAATGACCTGCAAGCTGTTCTTGACAAGTAACTTAACAGGCAGCTGAGTCCAAGGTAAGTTAAACTATCCCAGGCCATAAAGCGAGGCAGGCTTACTGTACGCCAGCTGCACCCGACTCATTCTCGGGGCCGATCAAACCAGCCCAGACAACCCACACCGGGGTCCCATATGACAACAATGGCACGCAATCTGAAACAGTAGCCAGTGGAACACCACAGCACGGCAAGGACCAGCCCACTTTACTCCAGCACGAAATAGTGACAGAAAGGCTGGTCAGTCCAGTGGTTACATCCACAAATTCCAGGAGGAAAAGAAAATCATATAACCACAGTAACGGATGCTCAGAGAAAAGCATCTGGAAATTCCACAACCTTGCCTAAAAAAGCAGGCCCAACAACAAATCTGATCAGATGGCAAAACAGCATGTCATAGAGAGCAGGACTGCAGTAAGGGGACTGGCGGTCACACCAGAACAGAGAGGAGGACACCACCTGTCCTGAAAAACCCGAATATCTAGAAAACCCAAGACACTCCTTATAAAGACTACTTGAAATAGAAGAGGATTTATAAAGTGGCTAGATATAAAATAAATCGATTTTCTCTATATGAGCAATAGAATTGGAAAAAAATTCCATTTACAAAAATATCACAAATTATAAAATTCTTAAGGAGTAGCTTTATCTGGAAAGGCAAGGATCCATGTGTAGAAAACTATAAAATCATATTAAAAGATTTAAAACATATCCACAGGGAAAGTCAAGCCACATTCTTAGATAAAAGATGTCATATACACATCTACTCTTCCAAACTACAGATGTCACATCACTCCAGTTGGAATCCCAATAGAAGTTTCAAAGCACTAGATAAAACAATCTCAGAGTTCATATTAGAGAATGAACAACCAAATAAAGACAAAAAGTAATGTGATAACAAACAGTGAGGGTGGACCTGCCAGTACACTAGAACATCTTACAGAGCTTCCTGCACAGAGAGCCAGTCTAACCAAGTCTGTGTGATACTGGAGAGGAAGAACAGAGTCCAGAATGAGAGCCCAATTAGACAAGAACAGACTATGTGACGACGGGAGGAGGGAGAGTGGAGCCAGGACCCTCTCAGGACAGCGGCCGGAGGAGGCAGAGGAATGCCTTCTCTGTCAGAAGCTCTCAGCAGGAAGGCCCTAGTTGAGGTCGGACAGGATTTATTGAAAAATCACCTGCAACAAGCCCCCTCAGCCAGGGGACCACAGAGGGTGTAAGAAGGCAGTGTCCCACCCTTTAGGGGCTCCCCACAAGCACTCCCCACACAAGAACAAGTAGGAATTAAAGATTTTTAGTAGTAAATAACAAAACAGATAAAATCACAAAGCTCTCGAGAAGGAGTGACTGAGGCACCAGCGCCGAATGCCCCCCGAGCCAGACGGGTCTGTGGGGCGCCCCATCAAACAGCCAGGACACGCCGGCCCAGCCTCCTCGTTGCCCAGACCAACCTGCCCTGCGCTGCCTGCTCCGCGGCCGCGTGTGGCTGCTTCGGAAACTCTCCTCCCGAGGCCTCGTGGAGACCCCTCTGCCTCTGCCTCCCAGGCAGGGTCCAGGCCACTCCCCTCCCCACACTCACTCCTGGGGGACCCCTCATCCCCTCTTTACACTGGGACACGGGGATGTCCAGGCCTGTACTTCCAGCCCATTCTCACACTCTCAGTGCCAAAACTCAGACCCACTGGGACCAAGCTGGGTGCCCCAGCCATCTGACACTTAAACGTTCAAAGCAGAATTCTAAACCCCTCACCTAGTCCCCCATTTCTATAAGCACCCCACCTCCAGCGGCTGCTCGAGGCAGACTGATTCGGGCCCCTCCTGCACAGGTCCCCCACTCCCTGCCACTCCCTGGCCCAGGCCACCCACACCCACACCCACATCTGCTTCCTGTGGCGCCCTCTCCAGGAGGCCTTTACATGCCAGAGGGCGCAGAGCTGCTGGCTGACGTCTTAAGCACACAGGTGCACATGCCCAGCCCTTGTGGCAGGTCTGGACCGTGTCGTGGGAGTCTTCCGAGGGGTGCTGCACACTTTCCGGACTGGACTCAGGTCGAGCATGACCTTCAGGGCGAGGCTGAGAGGGAGAACCTGCAGGGAGCCCTGGGCCTCCTCCCCAGGCCCATCCCACAGCCACCCGGCTGACTCACAACTGAGACTTGTTGGTGTTGGGCCCAGAGTTGGCCATGCTGAGGATGCCCCGGCCCGTGTGCGAGAGGTTGGGCCGGAACTCATCTTTGAAGGGCTTTCCCCAGTACGACTCTCCACCTGGAAGAGAAAGGAGCAGGGCTGGCAGCAAGAACGACTGGGCCCCAGCCAAGCACAGCCAGTAGGACGCAGCCCAGCTCCAGAAACCTGTGCTGAGTCCCATAGGGGCACCAGGCTCTGCTGGGGCCGTGTCGGGGGCAGGGGCACCTTGGAGGGCAGCGCCGGCCCGGAGGGACCCTCACCACCAACTTCTCCTGGACCCCACCCAGCCCCCAGGCCCCTCGGAGCCCCTGCGTGAGGCCTGGTCCCAAGGACAGGAAGTAAAGGGTGAAGGCCACAGGTGGTTATCGCTCACGCCACACAGGGAAAGAAAGGGAGTGGGCCTGGCCCGAGCAGCCGACGGGCTGAGGGGTCTTTGAGAGGCAGTGGGAGGGCAGCTAGGGGGTCTCAGGCAGGGCCCAATCTCCCTGGCTGTGGGCTCCCTTGAGCCTCCCTTGGTCTGCTGACAAAGGGGGGTGCCTCTGGAGCCAGGGAAGAGGCAGTGTGCTCCCCCTCCCCTCCTATCATTTAGGCCTTACGACCACCTCAAAATGAGAGAACTGACGCACGCGCCTGAGCTCGCACAGCACACTGGCAGCTGGTCTATCAGATTCCATATCTGGAAATCTCGGCACAGCCCCTGCCCACCTACCCCACACAGCCTACGGAGCAGGCCCAGGGGAGCCCCAGCACCAGTACCTACCCGTGCCTGTGCCAGTGGGGTCACCCCCCTGGATCTGCAAGAACAAAAGCCAGTGAGAGAGCTGTGCCCAGGACCCCAAGGCCCTGCCCGGCCCTCTTGCGGCTGCCTACTGCCCACAGCCTACTGACCGAATGAACTCCCCACCTGCCAAATGGGCTCAACGCAAGGGTCTGAGCTCTTAGTGAGGATAGGGGCGCTCCCAGGCCACCTCTCTGCACAAGCCCACTGTGTTCCCATCCCTGAGAAAAGGAGCTCACAGGGACGATAGGGGTCCCCTGCAGGAATCGGCCTGGCCAGGAGCCACACAGCTTCCCGTGTGGGAGCACGTGTGCGGCCAGTGCCTCACTCACCACGAAGTTCCTGATGGACCTGTGGAAGACGATGCCGTCGTAATACTGCTTCTTGCAGAGCTTGATGAAGTTCTCGCAGGTTTTTGGTGTCTGCAAAAAAGCCCAGATACTTCTGTGAGGCGAGCAGCAGCCAATGGGAGGGTCACAAACACCACCTGGGCCTTCCTCACGAAGCAGAAGGCAGTCCGCCGCCCGGTCCAGACAAGGTAAGGAAGGACCATGAAGCTGAACGACAGGACAGTGGCAGCCGCTGTGACCCAGGGCGAGGGCCACAGGGAGACGTGCGAGCAGAGTGAGGGGTGGAGCCAGCCCCTCCTGTAGGACGGGTGTGCCCGTCTGCCCAGAACAGCGCTCACAGGGTCCCTTCTGGGGACGGAAGTGAGGACAGGCTGAATTTTCTACAACAAGCACAGACTAACTGCAGCTTTGCATTTAAGACCCCGAGACGACCCTGGGTGCTGGGGGGCCAGCTGCACACCCACCATGTCGCAGTGCAGCTCCAGGTTGAGATCGCCCCTGTTGGTGTGCAGCCGCACATAGCCCTTCTTCTTCACAAACTGGTAGCGCAGCACGTCCTCGTCAATGGCGGCTGCAAGCAGAGGCCAGAGCTCCATGCCTGCCCTCAACCTGGGGCAGCCCCACCCATGCCAGGAACTAAGGCCTCGGATGCGCCCCAGCTCTGGGGAGAGCCTGAGATCTGCCCTGGCTGAGCAGCAGGGGGCAGCAGGGGGCAGGACGGGGCGAGTCTACGGGCAGAGGGGCTGAGGAGGGGCTCAGCAGTTAAGAAGTGGATGCTGGAAAAGCCAGGATTTTGGGGGAGGGGCTCAAGGGACAGTAGGGGTCTGGGGGACAGGTTGAGAACACAAGAGGAAGGGGGTTTGGGGGATGACGTCAAGGGCAGCCTTGGTGGAAGGCTTAGGTGCCGTGGGCAGCCTGGAGCCCAAGGCAGGGTGGCCCCAGCAGGCAGGACACAGTAGGAGGAGGGCCTCCAGCCCGCCGCCTCCCCCTCACTATAGCCTCCCCGATCCCAGACACAAACACACTTCCAAAAGGGCTTGTCCCTGCCTGACCACTCCTGAATTGCCTAAGAGCCCAGGAAGCCAGGCATAACAGAGCAATGCTGAGGAGGGAGGGAGGCAGGCCACCCTGCTGTCGGCCACTGTTAAGCAGCATGGCTGGTGATGGAGACGCAAAGGCAGCTACCTGCTTCATGCGTGGTCTCTGGAATCATGGCAGTAGAGGTGAAGGAGGCGCTCACCTTCCCAGTGGAATAGTGGGCCTGCCGGGAAAACCACGTCAGCATATCAGCGGTGCCTGGGGAGGCCAGCGGGCCAGGGACATGGAAGCCAGCCAACCCCACCACTCAGGCCCTGCTCAGCACCTCTCCTCCAGGAAGGTGGACCTGGCCACCGCCCACAGACACCAGCAGGGACCTCCTAGGCCACGGGACAGCCCGCCCGCATCAGCCTCTCTCTAAGGGCCCAGGGATCAAGGGATGTGATGACAGGAGTGGGAGGGAGAGGCCCAAGCAGGGGTGCCCTTGACCGCGAAACCGGCCTGCACAGAAGGCAGCAGCCTGCAGGCCTGAACTGGGCTGAAGGTGCATCTGGCCACGGCTCTCATGTTAAATGAGACCCTGGAAATCAACCAGGTGGAAACTGCTCACCGCTGGGGGTCAGAGTGTAAGGGACTCTAGTTTCTTTTTACAGCTTTCAGGCTTCTACAGTAAACACATTGCCTTTTTAATCAGGAAAACATAAGCCCTAATAGATGTTATTTTTTTATCCTAGGCAGAGGGAGAAAAAAGTGGGGTTTCTTCCCATCAGAAGGAAATAAACCAAAACGCTAGGAGCTGTTAAGAGTGTTGGGATTATGAACAACAAACTTTCTCTTCTTACTTTTGCAAATTTTCCTGGGTAATTCTTTAAGGAGGGAGCCTCAGAGCCCCACTCTGTCCTGCCCACCTCCCAGCCCCAGGTCGCCAGGCCCTGCCTGAATAGGGAAAGGGGCAGCTTTGGGGACCAACAGGCAAGAGTGCAACCCTGGCACCATCCCTGCCGAATGGAGGCCTCAGGGCCAAGTACTGGGTGTCGTGAGAGGCAAACAAGAGGCCCAGGTGGGGTGGGCAGCAAGCAGCCCCCAGCACTGCTTGTTCCCTCCCCGCAGCACCATGGCACCCCTGAAATGCCTCTGCCGTCTCTCCCTGGGTTTGCTCTGGGCACCAGGTAACCAGCTCTGCAGGGCAGCAACTCTGCACCCCAGTGGGCCATCCTCTCCCTGCCACGCATAGACCACAGGCAGGAGGCTGCTGGGTCACGTGGTTCTGTGGAAGCCACCCGGCAGCTATCCACCCAGCATGTCTGCTCTGGTCTGCCCAGCTTGGGCCAGAGCATGCTGCAGACCCTCCATGGTTGGGGGCCTCCTCCCCTGCGTGGCCCCCAGCATACCCATCCGTCACCCCCAGCCTCCTCTGGGCCCCCAGGCGCATGTTGGCCTGGGGGCTCCTGGCTGCCTCCCCTCTAAATGTATCCCAGGCCCACTCTGTGGGGCTGAGCTGGCAGTGCTGGCCTCCGCCAACTCACAGCGTTCAGCCTGTCCACCTTCTTCTTCTCCGGCACTCTCATGGTGGCCGCCAGGACCTCGTCCCCTTTGAACTCCTTGTAGAGCTCCTGCAGCGTCTCTCGCGTCTCAGCATTTGTGTTCTTCAAATAATAAGATGGGTCCTGTTTGGCCTTTTCTTCATCTACAAAACACCATGGTGGCCCTGAGCAGTTGAGCCCTCAGCAACGTCCCCAAATGTGCATGACAGGGACAGGAACCCACTGCAACAGTGGAAGCCCTGGGCCAGGACTCAGGCTGATGTAACCCAAGCCTCCATCACAGTGACACCTTCTTGATCTTGATACAAACCCGGGGAGGAGCTTGTGGAGGGAGAGCGAGGAAACAGCCCCGAAGGACAGCAACTCCACCGGCCGGTGGGGTCCACTGGAGGCAGCTCTGGTCTCTGTCCCTGGCCCGGCCCCAGCCCCAACGGTGTTCACAAACAGCCCTGCACCACAGGACCCTGCTTGCGGAGACTGGCTAGCTGAGCAGCGCCCACACTCAACACCCGTCTGCGTACCTGCCAGAGGGACCGAGCAGCCTGCCTGTCCCTGTAGTGGGGACAGAGACAATCCCTAGGAGGAGAGGGCCCCATCCAGGCGCTGATGACCTGGGCAAGGAAGTGGTCCTGGAGCTGAGTCTGGAGTCGGAAGGAGGCAGCAGCCAGGCCTCTATCTCATGAAGCTCTGGGCACTGAGGCATAATGGCCCTGGCTGGCACCCACCATGTCAGGGCCCCATGGGTGGGTGTGGGCCAGGGTGGTCCCGCCAACCTCAGCACAGGAGAAGCTGAATGTCGGCTCGGGAAATTCAAGGCCTGTCTAGGCTTGAGAAAGACTCCTGGGCGCTCGGGCCTCGAGGAAGGTGGGGGCTTCACCCAAGGAGCAGCGACCTATTGCACCCAAACCCCCGGCACCCAGACCAGCTCAGCTTGTACGTACCCGGGTCTGTTATTTTCATGTTATTCTTAACGTGAAAGAAGTTGGAGACGTTGAATTTGTCCAAATTGGTGGGGTCCTGCAGGCAAACAAACACGTGCAGCAGAGTCAGCCAGCACTACAGCCAGGACCCGGTCCTGAGACGAGCGGCTGCCCCAGGCAGCAAAGAACGGACGGGTGGCATGAGGGTCCTAGGCCAGGATGGGGAGAGGGGACTGCTGACCCCAATGAGAAAGGAACGACCCATCTAGGGTCACCCCTGATTTCCTAAATTCACATTTTTCATTAACTCACTCAGGGCTACGACACCTACAGGCACGCCCTGTGCCCAATGCTGAGGTACAGAGCATGCATCAGCCCCCACCCTCAGGGGGGGCGGGAGGAGAGTCACACCTGCAAAGGGGCCACTCAGATGCCGAGATGGCTCTGGTGGCAGAGATGAGGGGCCCTGACACAGCAGGGACAGGCACTGGAAGGGGACATGTGAGAACCAGACTGAGGATGCAGCCTGTGAGAGCTGGGAGGGCTGGAGGTGGGGGAACTGAGGGCAGCAGCTGAAGGCAGCTGGGAAACGGCAACCAGGCAGGTGGCAAGGAGGAAGCCAGCGAGCATGGGTGGAGAGGTGGGGTTGGCAGAGGGGAGCTGTGCCAAGGTTCTCGATGTGGACCCCCTGGGAACGGCAGTGGGAAGGGGACACCCACCTGGAGAGTGATGATGTCCTGCCGGGAGAAGGTCTCGTCAGTCAGCAGGTCCCGGAAGTTCTTGGCCTTGATATTTAGCTGCTCCACGGCCTGCGGCCAGGAGGAAGCTGCCGTTATGGTGCCTGCCCCCAACGAGGCAGCAGGAGCCTGGAGCCCGCCCAGATGTGGGGAAAAGATGGGGACAACCGTGTACCCAACAAGGGCTCACAGCGGCGGCCCCACCACTGAGAGTGGAGCTTGCTGAGTCCCCGAGACTAGAATTCAGCCCTCTCAGCAAAGGTCCTCACAGGACTCTCGTCACACACATCTTACACATCAGCAAACAGGCTCAGCAAGGGCACCTATGTCTACTAAGCACGCCTCCCAATCCATGCACACTTCAGGCAAGAAGTGACCCTCAGAACCCTTAGAGCAGCGCTGGCCACACGGACCCTGCCAATAGCCAGTAATGGAAACAAAAATGGCCCTGAGAGGGCTTCCTCCCAATGTGGGGCCCATACTCCTGCCATCTGTACCCTCCATCGGCACGCCCGGGGCAGAAGGATGGGTATGGAAGTCGGGGCCTCCTCTCCCCTACACTCACCCACCGGCCTGCACCCACTCCTCCTGGGGACTCCACCAGGAGCCGGGGGGCTGGGTGTTCCCCTCGCAGCCCTGGGGCCTGCCCTTAGAGCACAGTTCCCTCCCAGGGCCTGGTCAGTAAGAGTCTTCACTGAAGAAGACTGTGGGGAGGACTCCTGGGGTACGAAAGAACCGCCCAGGCTTCAGGTCCGGAGACCGCACAAAGGCCCCACCTTTTCTCGACTCCACTGTGGCTCTCAGAATATAGGCTCCACCGAGACAGGCCATGCCTACTGCGTCCGGGGACCCCCAGCCCTGGGTTTCCCTGGGGCACACACCCGAAGAGCCTGGATGCCACACAGCTCCCAAGAACCCACCTCGTAGGCATAGACGTTGCCAGTGGTCCTGACAGCCACGATGTGAGTGTTGTTGGTGAACACGGTGAACAGCACCGGGCAGTGGTACTTCCCTAGTGAGCAAGCACACGCGGACAGGCCGGTCAGAGAAAGGGGGGCAGACCCCTGTGTCAGCACACCCAGAGCGGGGACCCAGAGGGACAGCCCGCTGCTCAAAGCCCCTCCTCCGACACCATCAGGAAACTCCTGCTCATCCTGCAGGACCAACCCCTGCAAGGTAAGGCCTTCCTCCGAGGAGTCTGCTCCATCAGCCCCCAGCCCAACACCACGACCACCACCAGGGGCCCCTCCTCCACCTCAGACCCTGTGCCCTCGCCTCCTGTCCCCTCCCCTGGGTTATTGCAACAAACCCCTGCCATCCTCCCTGCCCCTCCCTGTCAACTCCCCACCCGGCAGCTGTTCGAATAAGTCCCGATAAATAAACTGCAAAAAAAAAGGGGAGGAGACGCTTATAGGTTAAGAGACTCAGAGATACCAACCACACACATTTGTGTGGACTTTTAAAAAATCCTGATTTGAAAACTGTAAAAAAAAATAATTATAAGAGCATTTCAGAAATCTGACCACTGGCTGGGTAGTTGATGATACTAAGGAATTTGTTAATTTTATAGGTGTGATAATGGTATTGTGATTATTATTGAAGTCCTTATCTTTGAGAGACAGACACCAAAGTACTTAAGTGTGAAATGATCCGATATCTGGGATTTGCTGCAAAATCACCTAAGCGGGTGTGGAGGGGGAGCACGGACACAATCAGACAGCCCGGAGTGCAGAGGACTGACCCTGGAGCATGGATGCGGGCAGGGGGTCACTGTACTAATTCTCTCTACTCTCATGTGTCTGGAATTTTCAGTTAAAAACAAAACAAAGCAAAGAAGGGTGACTGCTAGGTCAAAACTGTTTAAACAACAAAAAAAAGGCAAAAGTTAGGTCAGATCTCGCTTCTCCCCTCTAGCTCAAATCTCAGAGTCCTCCCATGGCCACCCAGGCCCTGCAGGACTGCTCTGCATCCCGTTCCCAGCCCTGACGCCTCTGACTGTAACCCCTGCTCCCACCCCTCACTCACACTGTTCCAGCAACACTAGACTCCTGGCTGTGCCCAGACACGCCTGAGGGTCTTTGCACTGGCTGTGCCCTCTGCCTAGAATGCTCTCCCCCACATCCCCACGTGGCTCCCTCCCTCCCTTCCACTCCAATCCAGTCAGTGAGTCCTCCTGCCCTCTCCCCTCCCCTTCTTTACTTCTGTCCCTGGCAGAAGCAGCAGCTGACACACCACAGTGTGTTTTCCGGTCTCCTCCCTCACCACAAGGTAAGCCCCCCTCGTTCTGGGAGAGAGCTGGCCTGTTTTGCTCTCAGCACGTGGCAGGTACTCAGTAAACATCTACTGAGTGAGAGATACACTGTGGGGCTCCCCAAATCAGCCCATCTCAGAGTGGGGAGGCCCTCAGTGCTCGGCCACCAGGGTGAAGCTCCCTGACCCCCAGGGACTGTGCATGAAGCACTGTGCCTGTTTCGCCGAGGCTGGCTCACTCATTCACTGCGAACCAGCACCGACTGTGGGCCAGGCCCCGGCCTCAGGTGCCTCAGCATCTCCCCCGAATGCACATGCCCAGTGAGCACAGAGACCAACCTAAACCATGGCACCTGCACAGGCCCACAAAGAACCCAGAGCAAGGTCAGGGCCTGCGGGCGCTGCCTCGGCGTGGGCATCTAGCCAACAAGAACAGTGGAGGCGTGTAGGGATACAGAGCAGGAGGACCCCAGGGCTGGGCTGGTGCTTTATGACCAGTGGTGAGGAGAAATCCGTCAGATCCCCCACACCCACTGCCTGGCCACTTGCCCTGAGCCTTGGCCTGAGTAGCTTCTACCTCCAGCAACAACCAGACCAGAGCTGCACAGGGACCACTTGTGCCCACAAAGGCCACTAGCGGCCCAAATAGCCCAATTGCCTTTGTGGGAAGAAGCGCCCCTGGGGCTGGCCCGGTGGTGCAGCAGTTAAGTGCACACACTCCACTTTGGCGGCCAAGGGTACGCAAGTTCGGATCCCGGGTGCGGACCTACGCACTGCTCTCAAGCCATGCTGTGGCGGCGTCCCATATAAAGCAGAGGAAGATGGGCACGGATGTTAGCTCAGGGCCAGTCTTCCTCAGCAAAAAGAGGAGGATTGGCAACAGATGTTAGCTCAGGGCTGATCTTCCTCACAAAAAAAAAAGAGAAGAAGAAGCGCCCCAAACCCAAGGTTTCACCCCCTACCCCCAGCTTTAAACTACCTAGACCTTAAAGAAGAAATTATGCTATGTATATGAGAAATTAAAAGGAAGTGTCCAGCCTGATCAGAAAGGAAAGACTGATTCTGTAGGCAGAGGGCTTTGGGTTCTGCGGGCCAATCCTAGAGTTGGCTGTAAAAGGGACCACTGACCTTCACTGTTCTTGGCAAAGTTCAGCTTGATCAGGGACCTCGCGTCCAGTTTCTGGAAGAAGTATAATGAACAATTAATGATAATGAATAAGTGGCTAATGTGAAGAAATGCCGAGGCTGTGAAGCGGGGTGAAACAGCAGACTGGAAAGGTCTCCGCCCATCCAAGCTTTGCAGCTAGAGGCAAGAGCTAAAGCCTCGGGTGCTGCCCTGGGCCCGGACACAGTGGTACACCTGAGTAAGAGGGACGGCAGCACAGAACTGGCCGCCGCCCCCAGCTCTGGGCAAGCAGAGCGACCCGGCTCTCAGGGGCAACCTCTGGTCTGCAGGCCGAGGCCAAACACGGAGGTCTGCTCTATATTTTTGTAGTGTTTAGATATTTTATGGTGAGCACTGATTACTTCTGAAATTTAAAAATGAATGTCTTCCTTCAGCTGGGTGCTGAGTACACGTGTTCACCTTATTGTTCTGTTGTACGACTATTTAAGAAAAACAAAAGGTTAAAAAGTAGGGAGAGGAGACGGCCCTGTGGCATAGTGGTTAAGTTCAGTGCACTCCACTTCAGCGGCCCAGGTTCGCAGGTTCAGATCCCAGGCACAGACCTACACCACTCATCAACCATGCTGTGGCGGCAACCCACATATAAAAAAAGTAGAGGGAGACTGACACAGATGTTAGCTCACGGCAAATCTTCCCCAGCAAGGAAAATAAAACTGGGGAGAGAGGAATAAGTACACCCAAATGTTAGGAATGGTCCTGATGGGATTCTCTATTTTTAGAGTTTCTGTAATGTGTCTGCAGCTCACCTCTCCTACGGGAAACTCAATAAAATTGAGTCTAGGTAGCCAGAGAGAAAAACATTACCCCAGGGGGGAGGCCTGATGGGAGGAAGAGAAGGCAGCTGTGGAGAGACCCTGGAAGGGGAAGCAAAGCTGCGCCCCGGGGAGCACCGGACTCAGGGCCCAGGCCACTAGCCACCTGGTGGAGGGTGGGGGGTGTGGGGTGGCCTTGCCTACCCAAGGCCCAGAGGAGACAGTGGGTGCTGGGCCCCTGAGCCAAGCTCTGAACCTGCATCCTCCCTCTCCTGCAGCCGCTGGTCCATATGCCCAGCCCTTGCGAGGCCCCTGCCTGCTGGCCAGCCCCACATCTGCTCCTCCACAGCTGGCTTTGTTCCTTCCTTTGTCATTCAACTACCCCCATACACGTCCGTGCAGGTGAGCATTAGATTCCAGGACAGACGACAGGGTCCTTGACCCAAGACTGCTCCCACCAGACAGCCCTTCTCCTTCAAGCCCAGGCACCCCAGGCACATGACAACCCAGAGAGACCCCACATATGACATGCTCCTCCTGGGACCCTGAGAAGTGATGTGGGGCCAAGCCAGCCCTGGGCCCAGGGGCTCAATGGCAGCCAACTCCACAGGGACCCTCCTTAGCAGTTCAACTGGAGGAGGCTCTGCTGACACCGCACGTCTGGACACAACAGCCCTCAACAAGGCCCTTCTGAGCCCAGGCCAGGGAGGGGCCCTGGCCCTCGATAAGCACATGCGGGATTTGTCAGGTGTGCTCCAGCAGCAACTCACCCCAACAGGACACCTGGAACAAAGGACGCAGCCGAGCCTCAGTGAGATAAGCCCAAACACAAGGCCAAGCGAGCTGCCCCCTCGGGCCCGGCCAGGGAATCCACACATTTCAGAGCCCCGAAGAGCACCTGGGGGGAAAACGCTCAAAGTAACAAGAAGCGCCCCAGATGCCACCAAATGGCCATGTCCACTGGGAAAGAGACAGAGGCTATGAGGACGCATGTGGACAAGAAAACCAAGGGGCTCAGGGGCAGAGGGCACCTGAAGACCACCACTGACGGAGCAAAGCACAGACCCTCAGCAGCAGAGGAGCCCCACCCAACACCCCAGCTGCTCCACTAAGGCAGACACGGAGCCAAGGAAGGCAATGTCCTCTGAAAACAAGCCAACCACACAGGGCGCAGGCAGGCAGCACAGACTCCATGGACGCCCTTGGAAGCCCACAGCGGCTCCCAGCAGCAGACCTCACAGAAAAGCGCTGCCAGTCACATGTTCAAATGACAAAAAAAGAGGAAGGATACAGCAAACACCTGAAAGACGGCGCTCTCCTTAGGAGGGCAAGGCCACCAGCTCCCCAACCCGAGCATCTGAAAGAGAAAAGCCTGCAGGCTCTCGGCAGCTGCCCCAGAACACACACCGCCAGCCCAGCCCAGGACAAAAGACGCTGGTGAGTCGTCCTCCTGATGCCAAGGGCCCGCAGAACCCTCTACCTCCCCAGAACGTCACAAGGGCCAGAGGAGCCCAGACAGCACAGACGGGCCTCCAGGAAAGAGTAAACAAGACCTCAACTAAATAAAGACCAAACCAGTGACGTTTCACCCATTTTAGGCTGGCACCCAGGACAATGGTCACATCACTTGCCCCCTTGTTCCCTCCTCCTCAAGCCTCACAGCACCCAAGTCCTCTTGGGCCTCCCCAACGACAATGACAATGACAACAATGGCCTCCACTCTCGCATGGCCTCCGGTGTCTCTGTCACAGAGCTGACCAGGCCTCACCCAGCTGTGTTCCGATCAGGTCGGGGCCTTATCCCAGCAGACAGGGCTCTAACCACCTGGCCCGACCCGGCTCCCAGCTCCGCGGGGCCAGTCTCCACTGGCTGCCTCATCCTGCACACCACTGCTCCCCAAACAGGCCATACTTTCCTCAGGCTAACCTCTTGGCCTCACACACCTCCCCGGCACACCCTGGAGGAGTCAGTCGACTTGTCCTACAAGGTCCCGCAGAAGTCCCCACCCTCCCTGCTCCCCCTCCTCATCCCACCTCCAGCCCAACTGCCTGCCCCTGCTCTGCTCCGCACACCCACCTCCCTCCAGCTGCCCGTGGCTCTGATTCCGAGGGATCTGCCTTTCTGTCAAAGCCCCACTAACCTGGAATCTGTGCACAGGCTGGATCGCCTGGTTCCACCTGCCTGCCCCGGCACAGGACGTGCTCACTGACCCGGTCCCCCTAGACGTGACTGCACTAGAAGGTTACCACTTAGCTCTCCCCTGCTGCAGGGAGACAAGGACCCTGACACGCCATCTCAGCAAGTCCCGCTGCTCCACCCTCCGCAGCAATCTTGGGTCCAGCCTCTACACCTCCTCCGCCTCCTCCCTGGTCCAAGGCTACCCAGCACCTCTTGCCCAGACAAGTGCACAGCCCCCTGGCTGCTTTCTCCGCTTCCACCCTCCCCTCCTACAGTTTGCTCCCCACACAGCAGCCAGAATGAACCTTTACAACAGAGGCCAGATCATGACACGCTCCTGCTTTAAAACTCTGCCTTGGGCCAGCCCCGTGGCTTAGAGGTTAAGTGCGCGCGCTCCCCTACTGGCAGCCCGGGTTTGGATCCCAGGCGCGCACCAACACACCGCTTGTCCGGCCATGCTGAGGCCGCGTCCCACATACAGCAACTAGAAGGATGTGCAACTGCAACTATCTACTGGGGCTTTGGGGGGAAAAAAAAAGAGGAGGATTGGCAATAGATGTTAGCTCAGGGCTGGTCTTCCTCAGCAAAAAGAGGAGGATTAGCATGGATGTTAGCTCAGGGCTGATGTTCCTCACGAAAAAAAAAAAAAACTCTGCCTGGCTTCTAGCCCACCCAGAACAAACCTAAGCTCCCTCCAGGGCCTTCGAGACCCCTTGATATGATCTCTGACTATCTACCACCACCTACCCTTGTCCCCACGTCTCAGTATAAATGGCACTGCTCCAGAGACATTCCCCAAGCCCACCATCCTCCCTCTTGGTAAGCATCTCTGTCTCAGCTCTGCTCACAGCTCCAGGCCCCACACACAGCACGGCCTAACACAACACCTTCTCGCTGAATGAATGGATACTATTGAATAAATGAAAAAATGGGCCCAAGCTGCAGCACCAGGGAAGGAGAGAGATGTCTGAGAAGTAAAGGGACCAAGAGGACAGAGAGGGTGGTGGAAACACGGGGATGCCGTGGGCTTATGAGAAAGACCGGCAGTGGGGTGGAGAGAAGGAGAATAAGCTGGAACTCGACTCTGAGAGTCTCTTCCTGAGCAGCACAGGATTCATGACACTGGACCTGTGTGCACGACGTATCAGAGGCTATGTAACCTAACTCATAAAAAAAACACAAATTAAAAAGTATTTTTGACCATTAGTAGCTAAAATCAAAAAAACAGATGACATCCAGTGTTGTCGAGGGTAGGGGGGGAACACGTGTTTTCTTTCATGCGCTCTGTTAAGTTTAAAATGGTGCAACTTCTTTGAAGAGCAATTGACCAGTAGCTACCCAAACTGAAAATGCAGCCACCCTATGAGCCAACGGGCCTGGGAGGACATGCGTACGTGTGCCCAAGAAACACGCACAAGGGTATCCCCTGACTGCTGTTGGTAACAGCAGGTGCCTTCAACCCACTGCGGTGACCCCCACAGGACAGCGCGTGCAGCCACAGAGAACGAGGGAGGGCCTTATGCACCGACACATTCAGATCTCTGAGACACACTGCAGGGTGCAAAAGGTGCAGAGGAGTTCACACATGTGACCGTATCTGTGGCCCACGGAAAGAAGACATACACCTGTACACACACGTGCACACATAGGGAACATTTCCAGAAAGGAATGGGTGTGGGGAGTGGAGGGGAGCACAGTCCCTTCTCACTGTGCTCCAACAATGGTTCTCTACCGTGCTCGTGTGTGTACACGAGAACCACAGAACCAAAGGCCAGGTGGGAGGACAGCGCTCACCAGCATCACTTCAAGTCCTGCGCAGCCCCTACCTCTCCATTGCTGGGGTCGGTCCCATACTTCTTAAGCCAAGGAACGATGTTCCTGAAGGAAGAGAACAGAGTCAGCGACGCAGTCAGGTGCAGCCTGGGGACAAGGCCACGGTCACAGAGGGCTGCTTCCAGGTGAGACCTGTGAATGGGCTTCATCCCAAGTCACCTCCGCTAGCAGAAGCCAAGGAGAGGAGCGCCTTGCCTTGTCAAAGGAAGCGGGGAATAGTTCTGGGTATGTGGGTTTCAAAGTATGTTCAGGGTTTTTATTGTGGTTATGTACAAACAACACAAACTAGCAAAAATTATATATATTTAAGTGTTGAGACATCCACACAATGAGATATTGGGCCAGTTTCAAAAACTATACTTCCAGAGAATTCCGAATGACACGGAGAAAAAAGTTCTCATCATTAACTGAGTGAAAAATGGATCCAGAATTATCTTCACAGTATTATCTCAACCATGTTACTACAAATAAACCTACAGAAAATGAGGAGTATAGATATTGACAGTGGTTATCCTGGATAGTGTGATTATGGTAAATTTTTCCTTTTACTTTTGAAGTATTTTCCAAATTTTCGAAAATGAGTCTGAAGTATGAGAAAATAACAGAAGCTGGCTAATAATGTTGGAACATAAAACTACATATAACGCTTCAAAATACAGCACTGGAGAAGTATGCACCTTAATTATGGCTCTGCTTTCACACAGTGACAGATACTCAGTTCATGAACGTTCCACACCAGGTACACGTGTGCTACTTACAACACCAGGACCGCCACATGGCGGGGGTTGGGGCGGGGGGGTCAATGCCATTCCGCTAGGAAGCAGCAGCGCCTGCCAGCAGAGCTGTCTGTCTAGGGGTCACAGCAGGACTGCTGCCTCATCCCTAAGGCCCTGGCAGTCCCTCCCAGGTCCCCAAGAGGCCCACCCAAGGCCCCCGAGGCTGCTGGGACTGGGGTCCTGGTGGCCTCAGCATGACCTGGCGTGGCACCTCCTGGAGGCCCACATCCCCTTCCTAAGCGGGCGTCAACAATCTCACCCTGTCTGTCAGCTCAGAAGTCAAGGGAAAACTCACAGCAAGTCAAAGACGACGCCTTCGGGGGTGCACACCGGGTAGACGAAGGGCTGCAGAGAGAGACTGAGAAAGGACAGAGTCACTCCTGGTCAGCTGCTGGGCACACTACTCATGCGGCGGGCTAACCAGGCCACCCCCACACGCTCCCGTGCCTTCTCCCTTATCTCCTTCCTCCTTCAATCATTCCTCCGACAATTCTAGTGCTCCTCTGCACAGCCTGGGCTGGGTGCCCACACAGAGGTGACCTCCACGTCCCTGCCCCTCAGAAGTTCCCAGCACAAACCAGTAAGTACAAGGCAAGGATCCCAGGAAGCGCTGAGGGGTCCTTGGGGCGACAACAGCCTGGTTGTCTCCACATACTCTGCTGTGTCACGTAACACACGTGATCACATTCAAGTTCAAAACAGGTCTCTGGAGGTGGCCTCAGGGAGGGAGGACTGGAATTTGCTCTCCGAAACCTCACATAGCAGGCAGGCCACTCTTTTCTACTGAGAACCGCCCTCTCCCATCCCAAGAGGCTCTAGCGGGGCTACTGTGGTCTGAGCGTGTGCTGCCTGCTCCTGACCACAGAGTGTGCACACAGTTCCCCCCACATTTCCACAGGGCAGGCACAGGACTCAGGCAAGAGCTGAGGCCCTGGGAGCCCTGGGTAAGTTTTGATACACTCAGGCAGGATGTAGGGGTAGAGGGGCCTGCAGAGGCCCAGACTGCCACAAGCCATTTGCCCCCTCATGGAGGGTTTGCTTAGGAAAAGCAGAGCCCACAGACGAAGGGAGACCTACCTGGTGGACTTCCTTGAACCAATACCCTTCTTTCTAGCATGAGGTTTCCGTCCCTAGCCATCCACAGCCCTGGCTGACCTGGCTTATTTGTACACTGAGTACATGTACATGAGTTTGGTCGGCACAGGTCAGATCCCAGGAATTGGACAGCCAAGAAGCACTGGAGTGACCTCCCTGGATGCTGCCCCAGGATGTCCTCGTGGGCGACTTCACCACCTCCCTCCCTGGCCCAACCTTCTACTCTAACCCAGTGGGGATGCTGCTGCTGCTGGGGACTGACCAGAGCAGGACCAACACAGAGCAAGCTCCAAACAGCAGGAAAGGCACCTGTATCTTCTCCCAGTGGGACTTGAAGGGCACGTTCTCAAAGCACATTCTCACCAGAACCCAAGGTAGTTAAAAAAAATGGGTGAAACACAGATCAGAGACCTCTTGGAGGAACTGGGAACCAAAGATGAAAGTATTTGCATAAAACCATTTCATACCCACTCTGAATAAGACACATTCCATGAGGCTGATGACAAAACCTGCTGGGGTGAGGAGAGATCCAGCCAATGACACCTGGACCTCATGTTCACCCTGCCTGAGCAAGAGCCATGAGCAGAAGAGCCGTCCCTCACCACTGTGTGGGAGCCAGCTGGGGGACCTGGCTGCAGCCCCCAGCCTTCCTGCACCATGCACAGGCCCCTTTGCCCCTTTCTTACTGCCCTGTGGGATCTGGCTGACCTGCGTCTCCCAAGATGCCAGAACCACCAGCAGAGCTTTGTCAGCTCTCAAGGCTCACCCTGACCTCTGGAATCAGAACTCAGCGGGGGAGGGCGGGGCGGGGGACATGCTATACAGACATGCATGTGTCCAGGGCAGAGATGACCATGGCTCAGGCTTGGGGAACCTCAGGCCCAAGGGGACACCAGACCTGCCCACTCGCACCACCCCCAGTGTGTTGGGGTTCGTTAGTCCTAGTCCCATTTCTCCAGCAGACTCGCCTTTGGTTCATAAGCATACCCACCAGGACAGGAAGCAGCATTTGAGTGGCTCTGCAGCTGGGTCCCTCCCAGCCCCACCAGTGACCTACGCTCCAGGGAAGGGGGAAGGGGATCATAGTATCATGACTACCGATGCTGCTGTTACTACTCAGAGTCTGAACCAAGAGGGAAGTGTGAAAGGCACGAGCCCAACATCAGACCACTGGGTTCAAGCGTCAGTGGCACCACTTCCTGGATGTGACACCCAGGTGAGGGACTTCACTCTTCCAAGCACTGGTTCTCTTAACTGTAAGAGAGGCTTACCAACAGAGTCTACCTACCTTGTAAGGTGAGAAGGAGGTTAAAAAGAACGTGCATGTAAACACAGACACAGAATAAGCAGAAAATAATCATTAGCTCTTATCATTGTTAGGTCACCTCCTGCCAGTTCAGGGAAGATCCGGGTGGGGGAACACAGACAGAACCCACATCTGCATCTCCAAGGACCAGATTCACTGTCAAATAATTGAGTATCAGAGAACAATTACAAGGGAAAGACTCAACTCTCAAAACTCTTACCTGCAGTGGTCAAAAGGTAAACGACGAAAATTTGTTTGTGGGATATCTGTTTAAAATGAAAATAAAAGACAGAAAACTTATTCTGTAAAAAATTTCATATATGTGTTCCTACCAGCAATTCAATTCTTTTCGGAAAAAGTTGAAGTAAATTACCTAGTGCAGCAACGGCTGTGGGTTAAAACTCTTCAAAAGACGGAAGCTAAACACACGGGCACCTCAGGAAAGAACTCAGAGGAGGAGGTACACACTTGTCTAGGCCACTGCGATTGAGTTTCTGCCACAACCCTAACTAACACCCCCGCCGGGAGGCTTCACTCTGCTTTCCACAAATGCTGTGTCCGTTTTACTCCCACCAGCAATCAGGATAGTGCTCTTTTCACTGCAGCCTTGATAGCTGTGGGTATTATTCTTTTTACTCCTTATTAACTTAATAGAGAAAAGACTGTGTTTTGTTTTGTTTTGTTTGTGAGGAGATCAGCCCTGTGCTAACATCTGCCAATCCTCCTCTTTTTTTGCTGAGGAAGACTGGCCCTGGGCTAACATCCGTGCCCATCTTCCTCCACTTTATAGGGGACGCCGCCACAGAATGGCTTTCCAAGCGGTGCGTTGGTGCGCGCCCAGGATCTGAACCGGCAAACCCCGGGCCGCTGCAGCAGAGCGCCCGCACTTAACTGCTTGCGCCACTGGGCCAGCTCCAGAGAAAAGACTGTTATGTTAACCTATGTTAAAAAAAATCACCACCAAGATTAAACATTTTCTCATATGTTTAGTAGATTTCCTCTTTTGTCAAGTGTCTGTGTCCTCAGCCGTCTTGTCTCCTATAGTTTCCGTATTCTTGTTAGTTGTTAATTCTTACAGGCTTATTGTGTGAAGGCTTACATAGTGAAGATATCATTCCTTAATTACACTCCACACACAGACACCAAGGGGAACAGAAGGATTTCATCCTCACCTGGTTTCTTGCCACCATAGAAGTGAGTGTACTCAGCACAGGTAATGTACCTGAAGAAGGGAGAGGGAATCTTACTACCAATCCCTCTATAAAGAGGACAGAGTCTCTGGAAGTAAGTGATGACTGAATCATTTCACTCATTCAGCAAATACTTATTAAACAACTATGACGTGTCAGGCACATAGTGATAAACACAACAGAACACAGGGATACACACACTAGTAACCAACTACAGTCCTGCTTTGCTCTGAAGGAAATGAACTGAATTCCACAGAAGGCTTGATGAGAAGGAGCTGGGGGAAGAGCTTTCCAGGCAGAGGAACCAAGCAGGCATATCCCATATAGGAGCCCTGACACAGGAAAAGTGGGTTTGTTCCCATAGAAGGGGGAAGTCACTGAAGAAGAGTGTCACAGGGGTGTGTGACAGCAGAGGAAAGAAACATGGGTGGGTGTGGTGGGATCACGAGGGGCCTCACAGGCCGTGGAGGGACTCTGGATTTGCTTTAGGAGGGATGGAAGCAGTAGGAGGGTTTGGAGCAGGGCTCTGACATGATCTAACATAAGCCCCCAAAGCATCACCCTGGCTGCTGTGTGTAGAGGGACAAACAACAGAGGCAGCAGAAAACCAATCAGGAGGCGACTGCAAAGGTCCCAGAAGGAGTTGGCGTAGACTCCACCTAGGGGGAGACTGGTGGACGGGTGAGAAGTGGTCCATTCCTGGAAGAGTCAGCAGGACTTACTGGTGGACAGGAGGAGGAGAGAGGTGCGGCTTCCCTGAGGCCCAAAGCTAACTCCCAAACTCCTGACCTGAGCAAACTAAGGAGCGGTGTGACCACTGAGAGAGGGAAAATAGGGGAGAAGCAGGCTCAGGCGCTGAAAATCAAGAGTTCCATTTGGGGCATACTAAATTTGAGATGTCTATCAGACCCCCAAGTGGTGATGTCTAGTAAGGAGCTGACTACTGCAGGACTGGAGAGATCACCCAGGGAGAATGCAAACGGAGAAGAAACCTGGGGGACTGCCACCTCTGAGGTCTGGGGGAGGGGGAGAAGGATCCGGCAAGAGAGACTGAGAAGACAGGCCACTGAGGCAGACTGAAAACAAAGCACATGTGGTGTCCCGGATACCAAAGAGGGACTTCAGAAAGAGAGAGGTGGTCAACTGTGTCATATGGCGTTGAGAAGCCCAAAAGAGGAGGGCTGAGAATTGATCACTAGATTTAGCCAAGTGGAAGTTACTAGGATCCTGACAAGAGCACTGTTGGGGGCGAAATCCTAACTGGAGTGGTTTCAGAGACAGCAGAAAACAGCAAATGCACCCAGATCTTCCACGTCTTGTGGTGAAGAAAATCAAAGGAACACGGGGCAAGGTCGGTTTGCTTTACATGGGAAGATTCTGTAGCACATGTGCAGGCTGACAGGCGTGAACCAGCGCACGGGAAACTGGAGGTGCCGGAGAGAGGGGCCCATTCAGGGGCAGCGCTCCGAGTGGGGCGTGGCCCAGGGCAAAGCGGAAAAGCCGAGGGGGCGGAGGGCGGCGCTCAGGCGAGGGCATCCACGCTCTATTAGAGCCGGCTCCCGGGAGACCCCGGCGGCTGGGGCTGGGGGGTGATTACCCGCTGGGGAGGGGCTCCGGGACCAGCTCTGAGAGAGCGGAGGAGAACGGCGCGGAGTGCGGGACAGGGCGGGCCTCGCTCCCGGCTCCGGCTCAACTTACATCTTGTCCTTCTGGTGCTGCCGCTTCCCCATGGCGGCGGCGGCCCCCCGCAGCAGGACCTGCGAGCGCGGAGAAACGACGACAGACAACACACACCACTGAGTCGCCGCCGAGTTCCCTAACTACTTCCGGGTCCCGCGGACCCGCCCCGGAAGTGGGCGTGAGCGGGTCGCAACTGTGGACCCGGGCGCCAAACGCGCACGCGGGGCGGGGGCGCGGGCGGGGTTCTGGCCGTCTGGGCTGAGTTCTAGTTGAGCTCGCGTCCTGTGGGTGCTGAGCTGTCTCCGCCTCGAAGCCCCCATCTTCTCGGGGAGCCTCTCTGGACCGCCTCGCCTACCGCCCAGCCCAGGCTCAGTGCCATCCTCGCCCAAACCCACCCTGGTTTGACCTGGGTTCTCAGGCCTTTTAAAAAGGCTGCCTAGAGCCTCAAGTCCCACCTGCCTCGGCCCACCTCTGCTCCCCTCCACGACAGAAGCCTCCAAAGCGACGTCCACATTCGCTGTCCACCGACTCACCTCCCATTCTCTCCACCCATGCGGTCCCCACCGCCTCCAGGGCCCTCTCCTGGGAAGCCAGGGGCAGGTGGCCATCAAGCCTGAAGGTCCAAAGCCCTCACTGATCCCTTCGGTCTCTCCTGATGGACCCTTGCCTCCGCCAGATCAGCCTCAGCGCTGGACCTCCTTCTACACTTGAGCGCTGGGTGATCTTGCCCAGGCTTTAAATACCACTTCTATCCCTTGACTCCCAACACTAAACTGCCAGCACTCCGGCCTCCTGACCTCTTCTTGGATACCCACTGATCTCCAATTTAACATGTCTGGTCAAAGCAGAATTCTCCATCTCCCCCCCCACCCCCACTGCTAGTCTCCACTCTCCTAACAGTACCACTATTCACCCAGTTACCCAAAGCCAGTTGTCCTTGCCCTTTCTCATCTCATGGCTGGCTCCTCATTTTCTACGTTTCAACATAAATGTCACCTCATCAGAGAGCCTTTCCCCACCCTCCCACCCCATATATCTCCATCTTATCTCCCATAGGGCTTATCACAACTTGTACTCCTGTATTAATTTATGTACTGGTTACACACACACACACACACACACACACAGGAGGATGAGATGTAAACTCCTTGAGGGCAGGGATCCCAACTGCTTGGTTTACTATCTCCAGTCCTAAGTAAGGTGCAGGACATACACAAGGACTCAGCGAATATCTGCTAATGTCTAGCCGTCATCAAGCATTTTGTGAGGACTCACATCTCACATGCAGGTTTGATTCTTTTTTTTTTTTTTTTGGTGAGAAAGAGCAGCCCTGAGCTAACATCCAATGCCAATCCTCCTCTTTTTGCTGAGGAAGAACGGCCCTGGGCTAACATCCGTGCCCATCTTCCTCCACTTTATATGGGACGCCGCCACAGCATGGCTTGACACGCGGTGCATCGGTGTGTGCCCGGGATCCGAACCTGCAAACCCCGTGCCGCCGCAGCGGAGCGCAAGCAAGCACTTAACCGCTGCGCCACGGGGCCAGCCCTGCAGGTCTGATTCTAAGGTCAGCATGTCAGGTGGCAACAAGAGTCACATATCTCTGAAATTCCTTAAGGAGGTGCCAAGTTGGAAACTGACACACCAGCTCATTTTCCTCCAGAGAGAGAACAGATCACTGTTTCTAAACCTGCGCCTAGATAAGGCTTGTGTTTATGGGCCAAGAGTAGGAAAAAATGGTAGACTTGCAACTCAGTGGGGTCAAGTGAGGCCCAAAGGGGCCACAGAGTCACTGAAGGGAAGGACAGCACTCTCTCCTCATGCATTTCTTTCAGAGCGCAGGTTAGAGTGCAAGCAAAGGGACTTCACAGTGGCGCTGACCTGGCCACCTACTCCATGCAGGCTCGGGCCAGAGGGCCTCAGGCTTGCACTACCTTGACAGTCTCTTCCACTAGAGGGAGCCCATGGGATTGCACAACCCCTAGGAGCCCAGCACGACAAACGCACCTCCACAGGCACCACACACGCTGGATGTTTGTCACACAGCCAGTGAAGCTGATGTTCAAGACTGTCAAGAAGCGTACAATTCCCCAGGGCCTTAATGTTAAGTGACAAAGGCAAGATTTAAAAAATGACACTAATGAATCACAACTTTATAAAACTATGCCTGGAAAAAGCTAGAAGATATCTCCACAGAAATGCCCTGATGATGACCCAGCACTGCTGTGTGGCTCCACTGTTCTGTGAGGCCTGATGATGCTCAGTAATGCTTTACTTTCTTTTTTTTTTTTTTGAGGAAGATTAGCCCTGAGCTAACATCTGTTGCCGATCCTCCTCTTTTTGCTGAGGAAGATTGGCCCTGGGCTAACATCCATGCCCATCTTCCTCTACTTTATATGGGACGCCGCCACAGCATGGCTTGATGAGCGGTGCATCGGTGCATGCCCAGGATCTGAACCGGCAAACCCTGGGCCACCGAAGCAGAGCATGCAAACTTAACCACTATGCCACTGGGCCAGCCCCAGTAATGCTTTACTTTTAAATTTGGCTTTGTAGCAACATTACAAAAGTGTTTTCTGACAACCCCTTTCTCTGTCACCCTGCAATCAGTCACCTTCCTACCCCTCCTTCTTTTTATAATTTTATTTATTTATTTATTTTCCCCCCAAAGCCCCAGTAGATAGTTGTATGTCATAGCTGCACATCCTTCCAGCTGCTGTATGTGGGACACGGCCCCAGCATGGCCCGAGAAGCGGTGCGTTGGTGCGTGCCCAGGACCTGAACCCGGGCCGCCAGCAGTGGAGCACACGCACTGAACCACTAAGCCACAGGGCCGGCCCCCGCTCCTTCTGATCTGATAGCCTACTGCTTCCACTTAGATGTACTTCATGAATCTACAAAATCATGTTTAATCATGTTTATAATTTTAATGTCTGCATAATATTCCATAATTATGTGAATGCACCTTTGTTTCCAGCTTTGCTCTTTTTAATTGATGCTGCCATTAACATTTTTATATAAATTGCTTTTTCTTTCCCTTAATCATCTCCTTGGGGCCAGTTTCCAAGATTAAAAATATTAGATCAAGGGGCTGGCCCAGTGGCGTAGCAGTTAAGTTCACACGCTCCACTTCGGCGGCCCGGGGTTCACAGGTTCGGAACCCCAGCACAGACCAACACACTGCTTGTCAAGCCATGCTGTGGTGGCGTCCCATATAAAGTAGAGGAAGATGGGCACAGATGTTAGCCCAGGGCCAATCTTCCTCAGCAAAGAGAGGAGGATTGGAAACAGATGTTAGCTCAGGGCTAATCTTCCTCACACACAAAAAAATACTAGATCAGGGCCAGCCCCAGTGGCCTAGCAATTAAGTTGGGCACGCTCTACTTCAGCAGCCCAATTTGGTTCCTGGGCACGGACCTACACTGCTCTGTTAGTGGCCATGCTGTGCTGGCAGCCCACATACTAAAAAATAGAGGAAGATGGGGCCAGCCAGGTGGCGCAGCAGTTAAGTTTGTGCATTCTGCTTCGGCGGCCCAGGGTTCCCCAGTTTGGATCCTGGGCGCGGACCTACTCACCACTCATCAAGCCATGCTGAGGCAGCAACCCATATAGAAGAGCTATAACTCTACACTTATGATACACAACTATGTACTGGGGCTTTGGGAAGAAAAAGAAAAAGAGGAATATTGGCAACAGATGTTAGCTCAGGGCCAATCTTCCTCAAAAAATAAATAAATAAACAAATAAAAATAAAAAATAGAGGAAAATTGGTACAGACATTAGTTCATGGCAAATCTTCCTCAGCAAAAAA